CCCAGGCCTACAAATCAGAAACCAGGGGAGGGGCCCCTCAGTCTGTAGTTTAACAAATTCTCCGGGTAATTCCCAGGCACTGCACCTGTGGGCTTGAGACCCCCTGACGTCCCTCCTGGTGCCCCTGGGAAATGCTAGCTAAGGGCTGGGTTTTCTCCTGTCAGAGCCTTTCTCCACAGCAGCCTCGGGGCTACCTCCCCGGGGAGCTGAGGAGCCAGAGAATCCCGCACACCCCACACAGGCCCCAACCACTGGGAGTGTCTGAGCCTACAACTGAAGACAGCAGCCGTTTATGTTATGACAGAGGCCGAGTGTAAAACAAGACATGGCCCTTGACCCACTGTCATAATGTGGCGAGTGAGATGGAGGAGGAGGAGGAAAAAGAGGAGGATGAGGAGGAAGAGGAGGAGGAGGAGGCTGGAGATTTCCTCAGCCACAAGAATTTCCTCTCTCACTAGCACGCAGTGACCTTGGCTCCCTGATGCAATCTCTGGCCCGAGCATCACTGAGAGCTCTTGGCACCAGCCCCCAGAGGCAGGGAGGATCTGACTCCCCTCTGCAGCGCACCTCCAGAGGCAGACTGCCAAGCCTCTGGGGGCCATCCGCCCTCCTAGTTGGGCCAGTTGCTTAGCTCTGTCCAGCAGTGTCATCCCCTATTCAGATGAGGCCAAAATCTACGCAAAGTTCCTTCACCCGGTGCCGGCGATGTCTCTTCTTATGGCCGTGGGGGAGGTACCCCTGGTCCAGGAAGGGACGAAGGAGTTGGGCAGCCTGTTAGGAGCTGGAGAAAAGGCACTGGTGGGTCCCCCCACGCTGAGTGGTGTATCTTCCATTCTGGGAGGAGCAGGACAATCACGGAACATGCACCCAGTCAGCCTGACTTCACTCCATCATCCAGCTCACGGGGCTCCACTTAGTGGAGTCTGGTGAGGATTGTCATCATTTCAAAGGTTGTTATTAAAAATAATAAGATGAAAATCCTGCCAGGTTAACTTCAGCTAAGAAGAGAATGTCCTTTTGTAAACTGTGCGTTGTACATTGTATCACTAGAATAGAAAACACACCGGTTTCTTTCTTTCTTTCTTTCTTCCTTTCTTTCTTTCTTTCTTTCTTTTTAGCTATTGATGATTTTTTTTAAAGGAAGACTTTTTTTAAATTTAAAATGATTATAGGGGCACGCTATTGTAAATCAAATAAATACTTTAAAAAAAATTTTTTTTCCTCTGAAATTCAAATGAGAGCATTTGTAAATCTTTATGAAACTATCTGTCCGAGATGCAAATCCCAGCCGTGAGTGCACGCCACCAGGCCCACCACTATATGCTAACAGCAGACTGAGACGTAGCACCGGCCTGTGAGAGCTTTGCCAATTATACATTCATTGTATTTTTAGACACAATGCTATTGCACACTTCGTGGACTGTAGCATAGTGTAAACATAATTTTCTATATGCACTGGGAAACCAAAAATTTGTGTTATTTGCTGGACCAGAATATTCCCTTTATGGTGGTCGTCTGAGACTAAACCCACCACATCTCCAAAGTGTGACTATGTTTGCTTAAACTCAGAAGTTGCAGTTGGAGGCCACCTTAAACGTTACTACTCTGAAGGAGAGGTGAAGGAGCACTGAGGGAGGAGACCCATCCTCACCCTCAGAATCTTAGAAACGGAGCCAGCTGCGGGTGCGAGGTCCCCTGTCACAGCAAAGAGGAGCGGCCTTCAGAGAGTTTGCCTTCTAGAAGGAATGATAAGAGAACACAACTGTGACAAGAGACTGGAGGAAATGCTTTCGGAGATGGAGAAGGGAGAGAGTTTGTCTCTTTGGAAACAGGAAGAGAGCCCCAGTGGAGGTGGCATCTCCGTTGGGTGTTAAAAGACAACGGGAAGGAGTCCAGCCAGCCGAGACGGGAGCAGGAAAGATGCAGAGAGGGGCAGGGGGAGCATGCCTGGGACAGAAGAGGCTGAATAAGGCCAGTGGCGGGGAAGCGCGGAGCAGATGCTTCAGGAGGAGCTCTGTTTACCCGGAATGCCAAATGTGTGAGGCAGTGCAGGCGGGCAGGGCCTGCCGTGCGGCCGAGCAGTCCCACTGGCTCATGAGATAGATAGCTGACTCACCGCTGGGCGCCCTGAGCGGGCTGTGATCAGGGCAGCGCTTGAAGAGGGTGAACGGGGCGGCCAGGGATAGCGGGCTCTGGGAGAAGGGAGATGAGGATCCAGGACTAGAAAGGAGATATTACAGTTTCAAGAGATGCTACTGAACCAGAATCTAAAAGGCTGGAGGGAGGGCACAAGGAAAGAGCAGAGTCCAGTGGTGAGCCAGGTCTGGGGCTGGAGAGGGAAGGAACGGTGGTCCCGGCACAGAGAGAGCGACACGCGGAGACACACACAGAGAAGGATGGGGAGAGGCATCAGGAGAGAGTAGCTGTGGAATGGCTATGGAATCAGCAAGGGGCCCCCTCTGGGCTGCTGTTGTTGAGAAAAGAGGAGGTGATGGTCCTAGCTTTAAGGTGTCAGTGTCCAGGCACAGGCCACACAGCAATTTCAGGTGACTCCTTGGAAGAGGGTGAGAGCACCAGCAGGGAGACTGGAGTGAGATGGGAACCCTTGGAAATGGGAAACAGGGAGCACTATGGCCCTCATTCCCATCAAAACCCTACAGTTTAGTCCTTTCTTTCGTTTCCTTATCCAAGTTCTAATTTGGATAGAGAGGGATGACTATGTTTCAGTTCTTCTCCCTCCATCTACCCAATGAGATACCGCGTGCTAAGAAGCAGAGAGGAGTGAGGCATGAAAAGGGGCAAAAGTAAACTCCGCTGCCACCTGAGTGATGAGCTCTCTCACAGCCGCTGGCGACTGGCCACTGAACCAGGCGTGGTCAGAAGCCCAGACGTGCCCCAACCCCCTGCACGGCCGGCTGGAGAACTGGAGCAAACACAAGTGTTTTCAAAGTGACCAAAGAGAAAAGAATGTGACGGTCTTGTTCTTGGTATCTGATCAAAGAGCTGTCTATTCCCAGCTGCAGAAAAGCACGGTGCCGAGCGGAATGCATCGCTCACAGCGTTAGGAACGCTGGGCTTGGCCACAGACACAAAATCCCAGCATGCACCTGGGCGCACAGAAGGCAGAGGGGGAGCTGCCCTGGCCATCTCCGTTCCCTCTTCCGTCCCTTCTCCGGACAGTTGTTGAGGACCTACTACCTGCCAGGCATTGCCCATGGCCCCAGAATATTTAAATGCAAATGGCACTGCTTCTAACGTGTTCTTGGGGAGGACAGGCGTGTACATGATTATCTACAGCACCAGGAGGGGGGCAGGGTTACGCACGGGCAGGCGATGAGGGAGGCGCACACCCGGCGATGGAATGACTAGCTGCCGTGACACAGCGGTGGCACAGCCAGTACGGGGACAGGCTCAAAAAGAAGGCTGATGGCGGGAAAACAAGGTGCTATGACAAGATGGAGATGGAGTGAGCTCGAGGAGTGAAGCAGCAGCTATGTGATTCAGAAAGACGGAGTCTTTGCCCACAGGATCTGACAGGGACTCGGCGTTAACTCGGATTTTATGAGTGCCCAATGAATCCTGTCAGCAACCCTGTGAAATGGTGTTTATTGCCCCCTTGTATCAATGAGGAAACTAAGGCCCAGAAAGATTAGTGACTTCCTTTCGCTAACACGTAGCCACGCTCAAATCCAAACAAGGTTTTCTAACCCCAGATCCAATACAGAGTTCTTTCCACTATGTTGATTTAGTAGGAGAGAACACACGAACACGAACACACGAACACACACACACACACACACGCGCTTCTCAAGTTGAGAATGAAAAGAGATCACTTTTGATTGGGGTGACCTGAGAATGTCTCAAAAGAAGGTGGTATCTGTGCCAAGCTGGGCAAGCAGGCAGGGAGCAGAAGGACCCGTGGGCATGGGAAGGAGAGGTGGGGGAAGGGATAGACTTAGACATTTGAACACCCTCTACAGGGGATGCTCTTACCCTACTAAGAACACCTGGGGAAGCTTCACAGCGAAGCTGACAATTGATGTGAATCTGCGCGTGTGAACAGAGAAGAGAGCTAGTGCCACAGCTCACTGACCCGGGCGTGGGGGTGGACTAGTTACTGGTGGGCAACCGTATGCAGCTCAGAGTCCATCTGGTTCATGCTCGGGGCTTGCACTGCCTCTTGGGGAGAGCTAGGTTATGCCACTTGATCTATTCTCGTTAAGAATAAATAACAGAAAGCAAGGACATGTTGAAGAATGAGAGAGAAAGTGAGGGAGGAAGGAAAGCATGGGAGGGTGGACTCACACAGTCTAGGACCAGGTTTGGATTCTATTTCTGTTCCAGTATGTGTTAGTGACTTCCAGCCTCTTGGTTGGTTTTCTGTGGACCACTTTCCTCGTATATGGGAGAAAAAGGATACATCCTAACCTAACTCACAGACTAATGAGAAGTTAGAAGTGAACATATTTGAAAAGTTTCACAACACACAGAAAGGAAATGTTATCAGTATCACGTCATAGGCGAGGGCTGACCAGACAGGCCGGCTGACTAAGATGGTCTCAGAGCCACACAGCGTTTGGCAAACACAATGCTTCATGGATTCAGAGTAAGTGTTCAGAGTCACGGGAGCGCAGAGCTGACAGGGGTTCTGTGAGCGATGCTCCCTCATTCACACTGGGCCACAGGGCAGGATGTCAGGGCCTCTGCCCCTTCCTGGAAAAGCCCGCCCCCGAGAGGATGACCTCATATCCGGGTGTCTGAGCTGGGCCTATTTATGCCAGGGGGTCCCACTGTCATTGCTGCTGGCACCCCTTCACTCTTGAAAGTGTCCCTCCCGGCTGAAGGTCATTTCCAAGGTCCCCTTGCCCGGGGTCTCCGGGGGGAAGCCTTTTTGGGATCCTTTTGGGAGGCCGATTCTGCACGACCCAGACCCTGCCTTTGTCCCACTGCGTCCTCCGTGGATGACCCTGGTCTCTGCCTCGTTTCAGGTGCATAGCGTGATGTCCATGTTGTTCTACGCTCTGATCACAGCTCTTCTGATCGGCATCCAGGCGGAACCCCAGGCAGAGAGCGATGTCCCCCCAGCCCACTGGACAGGCCTGCAGCATTCCCTCGACACAGCCCTCCGCAGAGCCCGCAGCGCCCCGGCCCGGGCGATAGCCGCCAGGGTGACCGGGCAGACCGGCAACATCACCGTGGACCCCAAGCTCTTCAAGAAGCGGCGGCTGCGCTCGCCCCGCGTGCTGTTCAGCACGCAGCCCCCGCCGGTGGCCGCCGACGCCCAGCAGCTGGACCCGGAGGCCGGCGGGGCCGCCTCCTTCAACAGGACCCACCGGGGCAAGCGCTCCGCGTCCCACCCCATCTTCCACAGGGGCGAGTTCTCGGTGTGCGACAGCATCAGCGTGTGGGTGGGGGACAAGACCACGGCCACGGACATCAAGGGCAAGGAGGTGATGGTGCTGGGCGAGGTGAACATCAACAACAGCGTGTTCAAGCAGTACTTTTTCGAGACCAAGTGCCGGGCCCCCCACCCCGTGGACAGCGGGTGCCGGGGCATCGACGCCAAGCACTGGAACTCGTACTGCACCACGACGCACACCTTCGTCAAGGCGCTGACCATGGACGACAAGCAGGCCGCCTGGCGCTTCATCCGCATAGACACGGCCTGCGTGTGCGTGCTCAGCAGGAAGGCCGGGAGGAGAGCCTGACCGCACGCCAGCCCCGCCCCAGCTCCCGCCACTCTCTCCTGGGCCCCTCCCTACCTCAACCTGTAAATTATTTTAAATTATAAGGACTGCATGGTAATTTATAGTTTATACAGTTTTAAAAGAAATATCGTTATTTATTAAATTTTTTGGAAGCACCCTGTGTCCTGCCACTCGGGTCATTTCCCCCAGGGTGGCCATCTGCAAGTCTGGGGCTGGCCGGGCGTGGAGGTAGAGGGGAAGAGGGGAGGGAAGGGGGGTGTTGCCCGCAGCCGCCCCTGGATCCGCTGAAAGGCCTGCCAGGAGCCCTCAGCCCCCCCCCCCCCACCCTACCCCCCAGCCGGCACTACCGCTTCAGGAAAGGCGCACTGGTTTCAGATATTAGTCCGCATTGGGCGTGATTGGGGAGGGAAGCCTGCTGGATTGCAACTTAGTTCTGCATTCCAGAGCCAAAGCTACCTAATCCTTGGATTACCTGCCCCCGGCCTGGATGCATGCGCCTTGATTGCTCCACTCGGGGAATCTGTGGAGCCTCATCAGAAGGCTCCGTCCTGGGGGGACCCACTCGCTCTGTAGGCAGGAGGAGACTTGCACCGAGGACCCGAGAGGCTGGCTGGCTTCTAGGGGAAGATCTGCAAAAGCTGGGGCGCTCTCCCGCAGAGCTGCAAGGAAATAACCACAGGAGGCCCGCCGCGGTGGGTCTGATTTCACATCCAGATTGCCTTCGCACTAACGCTGATCCTCAGCTTCTCCTCCGGCAGCTTCTTTTGGAAAGACGTGGCTACGCAAGGAAATCACAGGGTCTCAGACACTCTTGCTACCCACCGAGGCCCTCACGGCCACTTCCGATGGCAGCCTCCACTCAGGGGAGAAAGTGTTTTCGTTCTCACTGGGTGATTTTCACAGGTGTCCGGAGATGGGCAGGGTCATGGGATCTCCGAGAGAAGGTGTGGGTAGAAAAGACACAAGTAAATGGAGCGAAGATGGACACAAATGCACCAGGCAAGGTGGGCGATGCCAGGGGCACAGTGCCTTCCCGCGGCTCCCCGACAGGGGAGAGGAGAGCAGGAGGGTGTGAGAAAGGGGACGCAGAGCAGGAGGAGGGGGAAGGTGCCATCTCACCTTTACCAGCCTCCCCTGCCTCCAAGAAACCCAGCGTCCTGGGCAGGGGGTCGGGGGGGGGTCTTCTTTTTTGGGGGGACCAGTGCTAATCAATGCTGTCAACATCAAGAGCATCTTGACTTAAGAGAGATGGAGGTGACAGAGAGACTCCAGGTTACAGCCTAGAATAGCACTCCAACCAGCCTCAAGCTGCCACTTGGCCTTGTGATTTCTTTGTTTGTTTGTTTTGTATTTTCTCTGAAGGCATAACTGCCTCCCCTCAAGAGAGAGTTTACACTGAAATGGAGATTTTGTTTCCCAACCCTTCCCTGACCCCAGTTTTTATGAGAGCTGGCCCAGATTGTCCCTCTGATAGAAAAAGCAAATAACCATGCTTGTTCCTCTGTAACTCTCGGCAGCCCACCCCCTCCCCCCCTCACCTCCACCCAAACGGGGCGCATTGGAAACATTGAGAGCGTTGGCACGAGAGGAATCTGATTAGGCTGAAAGCATGGTGAAATGTAGCCTGCTTTCCTATCAAGGCTACTGCCACTGGAATGAAGATTTATGTTCAAGAAACACCAACCAGCACATTCTGGTCAGATAAAGCCTGCAGGGGGAGAGGCCTCCCACGAACCTGTGTCTGTGGCTTTTCGGTGGGCACCAGTGCCAGGGCCTCAGCCATCCCGGCTCCTCTTAGTAAAGAGTTCCTGGGCCCTTTCTCCTAGAGTCGCTGGGTCTGCTGGGCCCTAGAGGTGGTGTGAGAGGAGGGGGTGGGGCATTGGAAAGCTGGCTTGGTCTCTGCCAGCGTGGAGTCTGGAGAGCCACTCCACACCTCAGGACATGGGTCCCCAAGACCTGGAGGGAAGACAGCCTCGAAGGAAGGATGGAGGCTGAGGGGTGGGTAACGGCGGGCCCCTGACCTCACTCACCACGGCCCTCCCCAAAGGCAGCATCTGCTGTGGGCCGAGCCTGGAGCCGATGTGTTTACACACCGCGTGGGATTATCAGTTTGCCTGAGCTGAGTGGTCCAAAAACAACCCTGAGCCTGGTGGTTTCAGCAACTTGGATTCCGCCCCTCACACACCTACCCGGGCTGCCCCCAAGAGGCCGTCCTGAGTCGCCAGGCCCCAGACACTTGAACACATTGAAAAACAGCTAAAAACCACCACTGTGTTCTGCGCAAGAGCAGCCGTGGCAGGCGGGACTTATAAACGTTTCTTTGACTCGCCTTACTGAGGTTTTCGTGCCCAGATCACAGAAAGCCCCGAGGTCAGAGCAGATGCCTTCTCCTCATCAGCTCCCTCCCCAGAAGCGTCCTTCCAGCAACCAAAGTCCCTGCTGTCTTGGCCTGACACATCCCAGCTCTCCTAGCGACTCTGGGAGACAAAGCCTGACCTTAGTTTGTGTTCCAATCAGTCCTCTGACCCCCTCCCACCGCAGGCCCCTGCCTCCCCAAGACCTGCTTCCCCCTCACAAACATCCTGCAGCGGAAGACAGGTCTGCAACACAGCCAAGCAGCTATTTTCACTCCCATGAAACCAAGGACTGCCCGTCTGTCTCACTGCCGTCTCAGCACCATTGGCATCATGGGAGCGGGGGCCGCCCCCCACCTGGCATGCAGAGGACAGAGGGGCTGCCCCTTCTGGGCCACAGGGTCCCTGCTCCTTGGAGAAAAGGGACCGGCCGTTGGACAAGGGCCCCAGAACAATGGGAGTGCGGACTCTCGGGAACTCAAAAATAATTTTAGTTCATTCTAAATTTAAGTAATAAATTCAGGATTGAACTCAGAGTCTTTGCTCCACTTTGCTCCGCAGCCTGAATGGGGTGGCGGGGAGCTGGGGCCCTGGTGCTGAGGAAGCTGTCCGATGTGAAGGTTCAAACGTGGGCTTGGTGTCAGCAGAGCCAGGGGCCAGGCCCAGCTCCCCATGCCTGTTTGCGAACGCTCAGCAAGCCACTGCCCCTCTCTGACCTCAGATCCTGCACTTGTGGAATGAAAATAAGTATTTCTATAGCTTAGAGTTAAAGCAAAGCCATGCATTCGAAAGCTAACAGTCAGGTGGCAGGCAAAGTGATTTGTTCTAAACTGACAGTCCTTGCAGTGATTGTAGGGGAGTAACAACTATGAGGTGCTCACTAGGTATTTGTTTGCTGGCAGATGGAGAGATTGGGCATGGAAAACCCTCTGCTCGTGGGCATTAAAAAATATGGACCTGGCATAGCCAGGCTCAGAAGGGCAAGAGTAAGACCAGCAGTTATTCTGCTTCAGATTCCGCTTGAATCTGGGCTCAGGAAGACCACCTAGATTCTGGAGAACTGACTGCGAGCACGGGCTCTGGAGCCAGACAAGCAAGATACTTCCACTGAGGCTGTGTGGCCTCAGGCAGGTTGCTTCACTTCTCTGAGCTCCAATTTCTTCATCTTTGTAATGAAGACAGAGGGTGGGGAGACAAGGGAATGATATAAGTTATATAATATAAATATACACAAGTGTCTGGCATTTAAGAAGATGTAATACATTTTCGTTTTGAGAACTAAGTAGAGTTGGCTGAGAAACCCTGAAAGGATGTTGAAACGGGGTGGAACACCTTTCAACGAGGCAAGAGTGTTCGTGAGCAGAGAGTCCTATCCGTGCATCACGGGTTTCCTCTGTGACTAACAATCACAGCAAGCTGCCATGACTGTTAGCGTTTACTGAGCGTGTGCTGTGTGCCGCCCCGTAGGAAGCAGTGAAGGTGGATTAGCCGGAGCAAGCCTCTGCGCTCTAATACTAGGAGCATCTCTCGAAGACGCCAGGCTGCCTTCCTGTGTTCACGCATCACTGCCAGCGAGCCTCTCCCCGGTTCTCTGGGGCGTGTTTTCTCTCTCGGCCCTTGGCAAGTTTGTAAACCATTGGCGCTGAGAGTTTCCATGTGGCCAGCACGTGGGCTCTGTTCTGCTCCAATTACTCTGGGTCGGCAAAGAAAGAGCTCTGACCTTCTTAAAGTTCACCTGGGTGTGTGGAGATGGCTAGGGGGCCCGGGGCCAAGATTCGGTGGAGCGGACCCTCCCACAGCAGCAGCCTGAGGAGAAAGAATCCCTTATGCCCAGGGCTGCAGACCCTGGGCCCAATCTTGCAGGTCAGAGGCACTTAACCAGCCTCTTAGGGCGGGTAAGACAGAATTAGTTTCCATCCTTTCCCCCTCAAACACCATCCCAGCCTGTCTGTGCCTACCCTGTGTCTGCAACAAGTGGGTTAGTGGTCTGAGTTGAAGTAAGGTCCTTCCTGAGGCCACCGGGTGGGACTCATCCCAGCACTTTTCAGAGGCTGGTGTCATGGTGAAGAACACAGTCAGACGGTGACAGTCAGACCCTCGCCTTACCACTACTTGTCTGAGTGACATTGGACAAATGACCGATCTCCGTACTTCAGTTTTCTCACATGGAAAACGTGGATGATAATAATAGGCCCTACTCTGTCGACTTGTAATGCACTTAGTGCTTGGCATATAGCAAGTTATTGTATTTAAACATGCAAATATACACACAGCTACATGCACATACATCTATGCCTACATACACACACAATATACATGTACACTCACAGAGCCACAGAGCATTGAGAAGCAGCCTGGAAGTGTACATTCCACAGTCACATGGAACCACACACTGACCTCAAAACACAGAGCAACGCACAAATTATGCAGATGAGTATTCTGAGCGATGGCAATGCACAAATTATAAGAGGCAATCAGGTGGGAAGAGTAAAACCAGGAAAACTGCTCAAAGAAACAACTTCTGATCCGTGTTTAGGAGAAAAGGTTGAGTGAAATTATTCTCTGTGCTGGGACTTCTTCTAGATTTACAAACAAGGTAAAACCCAAACCAGAGGTTTCCCCGGTGTGACTCTCCACTATCCTCTC